CTCTGCTTTGAGACAAGAGAACAGTACAACTAATTCTACAGTACTGATTCTGTGCGAACAGCCATCATATAACGACGTCATATTAATAGTACATATTAACCGTTATAGAGGTGAATATATTAGAACTATGGTCTTGCGAGAGAGGAGAACTATTTCGCAAATTGCTTCCGAAATTTGCCTAACGGATAAGTAAGCGGATAAGTAAAGATATCGCCGAAGAGAATATAATGTAATTATGTTTGTGTGTGCCTTTTGCAAAATAAACGTGCTTTAATGGATGAAATATATCGGGTCTATATTCAAACTAATTATGATAATATTACGAAGTAATATTACGTATTTCAACCTTGACAGAATAATAATACGATTCTCCTCCCTCGAAATTTATCAAATTGAAAATTATTAAAACCGACGCATAGATAGCTTTTATGCGGCAGCCATCCAAATAACAACGTCACATCAAAAGGCGGAGGCATCAAATAAATATAATTAATTCGCAGCGATATATTGTAGCATTCAATGAAAATATGTGAACGTGAAGTGATCATAAATGTCAGCTGTATCGCTCTCGAAACAAGTGCATCCATTTTCACGCGTCGGCTGCATCATTGAAGCGTAAACGCTGCGAAACGAATTATCCCCCGCGTCTATCTCTATCTCGCTTCCCTTCTAACGCGGAACAAAAGCTTTATCGTCTAACGCAAAAAAAAAAGAGAAAAAAAAAACACGCTTGTATGTACGCGACACAGCCAGTGCAGTGGCTCGAAATTTTGGAAATCGAGATGAGCCATGGAAATTTCCAAGTCAAATCCCTAGCTCGCCCCCTCCCCTCCCTCCACCACCCATTAAACAGCCACACTTGTTCCCATGCTGGTCGATAAATCTAGGCACGTCGTCGTATTTCGGCTCGAAATGCGAGCCGGACGTGCGCGGCGCGAGATCGCAAAGCGCATCACGCGAAAGGGATATATCCCGTTCGCGCGTTGTTAATGCAGGCCAAATATTGACGATTTCGTATTTCGAGCCGCTCGTCAGTTTAAAGGATCGCCGACGGATCGTCCTGGTCGAGCGAAAATTTGTGATGATTGTTGCGCGCGACCGAATTGGCACGTTGCCATCGGGAAACGAAACCCCCGATGCTCTCGAGCCTGTTAATAAAATTCGAAATTGTAAACGCATCACATAGTATTGTCGTTTGGGAGTATCTTTCTCTCTCTCCCTTTCTGTCTCGTTTTTGACGATTATTACAGTTATTTTAAAATATCGTAAACAAATGGAAAGATTACACACAGAATTTGTGATCGACAATATAGAATTGTATACAGTTATTGTATACAGCTATCGTATATTTTTCGACGGCTAAAAATGATATCAATCAATTCAGAAATAGACTATAATTGTAAAAATTCGACATTAATTTTGATTTATTATTGATTATTATTATATATCTATTATATATTATTATTGTTATACATTATATACATATCATTATTATATGTATATTGATATATAGAGATTAATATAACTGCGCGATGTGTATTTATCCTAACTTGTTTACATAATCACTTGATCAAATTTTGGAGTAAGAAACTCGATATTTGAATTTCTGAATTGCTTTGAATTTGAACAATAGTTAAATCGTTCTTAGCGCATGAACAAAGTTATCGGACTGAAAAGTTTAGTCTTTGAGACTGAAGAATATTTTTCGCAAAGTATTTTGCAAATTTCAGTGGCTCTTAATTAGTTCCTCTACCAGTTTCTAAAATCGTCGTTTGACTAAAGTTTGGAAAATCCGAGTTATAACAAGTTCAAAAATCGCTCGATTAGATTCGCGAGTGGTGCGGGATCGTTCACTTTCAGATCCGCCAATACGATTCTATTCGAAGCGTTAAAAACTTTTCAAAAGAGCCAAAGGACATTGAGCCAGCGGGAAAAGGGTGAGGAAAGAGAGGAGTTACGCGGATTCACAGTGAAACAGATTGTGAATAACGATCGCGCCCAAAGAAAATGCGCATCTGCGAATCGATTAATCAATGAATCGGAAAATGAAAACGAATATCTTCTTTCAAAGTAATTATAATTAATTATTCGATAATACGCAAATCAAATCAAAGGATCGTTAAAAAAATTGTCCGATCCAAGTTTTCATATATAACGAGAACTAGGAGTTTTCGAGTAATCCGTGTAAAAAGTTTAAAATGTTGTAGAGAGAACTTCTCTAAAAAGTATACCGGATGTTTCATCGCATTCATCCTTTAAACGCGTACAAATAAACGATTGTATGAAGTTTCCAAAGTTAAAATATGTAGTTTTTTTCATCCTTGATTTTTTTTATTTCCTGTGCGGTAGTGACGAGTATCAATGCATCGATCAAAACGCACGATCTATTAGTTTTAAGACTGAAAAGGGGAAAGATACGATAGGGTATAATATACCTTAATGTGTTCCGACTTGATTATCGTGACGAAGTTCACATTAACTCCACGTGGCTTATCTATTTCAGCCATGTGAACACGAAGGAAAGTTAATTTGTGACTATTTACAGAAAGCAAAGAAAATCGTAAAGGAAGCAAAAGAAGAATTTTCGCAACGGATTACTGCCGTAATTAATTCGCGAGCTTTATCGTAATCGAAATATTTTTACGAGCGACAGAATAGTGTATACAGGGTGTCCCCAATTTAAATGTCAAAACTTTAGGAGCGTGTAGGGGACCGATAAACTAAGACAAAAAGTCCTTTAGAGATTTGCTCGTTTTTGCTTCGTTTTGAAGAAAATCGCAAAAAATCAAACAAATAATTTCCACCAAAAAAACTTAAAACAACACTAAAATTATTAGATTTATCAAAAAGTATTATAAAATAAAAATTGTAGAACATGGAATTAAGAAAAGAGAGTGAGTTAAAATCCTCCTGAGGTAAAATTAGAGGATTGTAGATAAATACGCGACAACGCGAAATTTTGTTTCTAATCTAATTTTACCTCAGGAGGATTTTAACTCACTCTATTTTCTTAATTCCATGTTCCACAATTTTTATTTTATAATACTTTTTGATAAATCTAATAATTTTAGTGTTGTTTTAAGTTTTTGGTGAAAACTATTTGTTTCATTTTTTGCGATTTTCTTCAAAACGAAGCAAAAACGAGCAAATCTCTAAAGGACTGTTTGTCTTAGTTTATCGGTCCCCTACACGCTCCTAAAGTTTTGACATTTAAATTGGGGACACCCTGTATATCATATCTTCATAATTGTATAATTACTATAATTAAATATTTAGAATAACAAAAAATCTTTTTGAATGATTTGTGCACAAGTTTGCAAAAATTCACGTACGCGAATACTGACAATGAAATAAACTGGTATTCTCGGGGCAGAAATAGGTTCAATACTTGGCACGTACAAGGCGCGGCGAAAAATTCCTAAGTGAAAAGTAATGTATTCACGCAAACATGACTTTGGCTAAACTAACTTTTCCATTTGGAGAGTCCCAACAGTAGAGTTTCCGAAACTACGACAGAGTGCAATCTTTTTCTCCGCGACCGCCGTAACATTTTTTTAATTCGAGCAAGCGGAGAAAAATCACGCGGATAAAAACGACTTCGCCCGATTTAAAGCCCCTTTGCCGATCGGTCTTAGTACATCCTTAACACACATATATACATAAACGCATGTAATACTGCATAGAGTATTACTCATGCAACTGCTGCTGCTTGTTTCATATAAATTGTAAGCGTGGTTTGCACATCGTGAAATATTAACATCGCGGAATTTCAAAGTTTGGAATTTGCTTTGAATTGATATTACTACGCAAACATCAACTTAGATAATATAGTAAAAAAACCGTTAAATAAATATTGCATTTTCTCATTATTTCAGTGTAATTATTGATTTTATCATTATGCTACTCCAGATAACTAATAGCCTCTATCTTACTTGACCTTGCCATACATTGGAAAAGATAAATTATATATCGCGCTCGAAAAAAATTATAGATATGAACCCGATATTACAAATTTCAATATATATATATATATATATATTCTCTCTTTTTTGTGACTTTTCCATTTTATGTAGAATAATTTATATATAAATTTTCGATACGCACGTGGCGCATCTCTTAGATATTTATTATTATCCCCGATGATACTATCGATTATTAAATGCAAAACAGTGTATGCTAATGAGTTAATCAATGAGTTAATCAGTGCTTTCGTGCTGTTAAATCGTTCACGTAGATAAAAATGATGAAATACCAACTGTATAAATGTCATTTGTCATTCATGATTAGTTTCTCTCTAATGCCAAGCTGTCCAATTATCTCCGAATGGCATATAATTCCACAGAGTATAAACCGAAAGGGACAGTGAAACAACGTTCTCAATATAATCGTATCAATGTGTGTGCACGTTATACAGAAACATTTTGCACAAAGATTTATTGTCGATTTTACGCTTATTAAATGCGGACAGCGTTGCATTTTACTCATGACAAAACAATTGTCGCATTATTTCTATACACTTTGCGCGAATATAACACAAAGAAATATACGAGTAATCCTCGTTATTCCGGAAATTATAATAAAACTAGCTTTATCGTCGTTAAAAAAATAAATATCTCTTGTGAATCTCGCAAAAATACAAATATTTTAAATTTAATATAATGAGATTAAGAATTATATAGGATTATTATATTGTCTTTTAAAGAAAGTTTTATAACGTAATTTAATTTTAAAATAAAGAATAGAATAATCTCACCCCACATTATTGACACGACTGCTATTATAGTTCGCTAAAGAGAAAAGTGCAGTAAAGGGATGGTATCGCACTCAGAGCGCCTTTATTAGCATTTCTATCGGCATTGTAATCGTATCGTTCGAAAGAACTCGTAACGCGCGTTCGTCCGAACAATATAAATGTTTAAATTTAATTTACATGATAGGATCCAATTCTTTTTCGGTACAAAAATTTCAATTTAAATCAAAATGCTCACGTAAATACTCACTCGTGCACACGCCCTCGTCCATTTCTCGACTGCGGGGTAGTAGATTCGTGATTACACATTGCAGACCGATGGCGCAGCTGCCCGAAAAACCGAAGAGACCGCCGCAAGGTTCGCCTTCGACACGCGCACATACTTTGCAACACCTGTAAACACATAAAACTTACGGTCAATCTTTTTATATATATATATATATAAGAAAAATATAGCCATACAGAACACGTTCGATATACAAATCAAGTTAGTTTACGCGAGAGTAACTTAAAGCCAATAAAATCACTCGAGTGGAAAGTTATAATTAGCTGCGTATCACACGTATTTCTTCGTCGTGGTAAGATTATACATATTTTCGCGATATTCGATATTCTTAACGTGTCTTCAATGTTCACAATATATTGAAATGTTGTCTAGAAAGGTTTTTAATTCCATTGTAATGCCTATAAAAATTTGTATTTCAAACGTATTAACAACAGAAACGAGGAAAGTTGATCTCTATTCAAAATAAACGAATGGTATTATTAGCTCTTTCTTTCTCGTTGTTGTTGTCGTTCGCCGGCAAAATATATAGAGGAATATATTCAGTTCTCGCATGCCTGGCCTCTCAATCTGTTGTTTCCTCTTTTTTTTTTTTATTGGCGAAAAACGAACTGCGCGGAAAATTGTTGCCGAGGTTATAAAACGATAAGGTAGACGAAACGAACAAGCGGCGGTGGATACATGTGCATCGCAGCCAACCAGATTGCTTCGATTCGAATGCGGCCATTTGTTTTCTTCTAAGAAATCCTGCGGGCGACGAGAGGATACCTTTAAAAGATATAAAGTGCTTCTTATAACGGTGTTATATCTTTCTTACACTCGCAAAACGAGAAGGTATAATTTTGTCTGTGTCCCTTTTCAAACAATGGTCAGCTGTTGGAGAACAATGACGTGTACTCCGAAAAATGATCTAATGCCATATTATTAGATTTGTCAGCAAATAAAAATGTCTTGCAATAATTTAGTGGAAAATCCCGGAATATATGTGTGAACGTAAAATAAAATAGATTTTATAAATATATTATAAATATCTGCGAGAGAAAGATACATTTTTTACGTTGAGAAAATTATTCACAAGATACTTTTATAATATGTAAATATCAGCTGTAATTATCAGCTTTATGCATAGCTCAGATTTAGCGGTTTAATATTTTATAAGCGCTTCAAAATCTTCCTAGGAATAAACTACAGTAACAAGAAAAATATTAACTACCTTCAGTTAATGTAATATATTAAGTAATTCAATAATTAATTATAATATATTAAATAATTAAACTAATTGAATAATTAATACATAATATTTTTAAAAATTATTTATTATAATTATATGAAACATTTTTATTTATTAGAAAATTTGTACGAAACACATATACTTTGTAATCGCACTTGTACATCGTTGTAGAATTTACAATCCGATGTGTAAATTCTCGCGATTCTTGCATTTTTATCTGGAAGAAGCTCGGCTTGGATCGAGATGTAAGAAATTGAGAAGCTTCTACGTATTATGCGAATGCATATCACTTTGGCGCACAGCATGCTCAACAGCGCAGAGCATAGTCTTACGAAGTTGCGGTGGAAAAAAGTATGGGAGGAATTTCAAGGCGCAGCCTGCGGTGCATCGCGCGGAAAATAATCTCGCGGAAAATTGTCAACTGCAAGCAGGAATTTTATTACGTTGTCTCGGTAGCGCGGAAGAAGAAGCGAGCCTTCCATGTTCGTTGTCGCTTTTGCGCGAAACAATCTACTTCTCTTAATATACCTTTCAATTCTGTATATTCTTATATGACACAAGAACGTAGCTTATGGGGAAGAAAATAATATAACCAGATCAGAAGGCTAAGAGATAATACATGGTGATAAAATAAAATTGTACGTTATCGAACGTAAGTAAACGTAATTGATTTTCGTTTTACATAATATTTTAAAGAATGTATGATCGATTTAGAAAATATGGTTGTATACTTTATTTAAGAACGCAATGCAAATCTTTTTATATTCCTCATACTGGTTAATGCCATCAAAGTAGACTTGAAAAATGAAGCGCTCACAGCTAATGTATGTGTCTCTGCGCACCGCAAAAAAACAGTGTGATTTGTTTCGACTGGTGATTCCTAATTTGCAACACCCGCAGCCAATAATGGTGTTGCATACTAAATATTTTCTGATAAATTCCCAATACGTCGCTGAACATAGGATTTCCGTTTCGTGCTCAGCGTATCCTTTCGTATACCGTCATTATTTTATGGAAGAATGCGAGCAACCGTGTTGCCGGTTTCCAACAAGCATGAGTTCTATTAAATCTGATCACGATGTCTAATAAAAAAAAAAAAAGACACCATTGTTTCCACACAATAATTGCGAAAACAATGTTTTCGAAATATCGGAAAATATACGTAATATAGCTTCCCTTTGACATCTTGAAAATTTAATTTCTTTAAGATTGAAAATATATAAAGTAAATATTTTTATTTATTATAAATTTGAAATATAACATAATCTTGATATCTAATAAAAAGAAATATAGGGGTTGTTATTCGCGAATGCAAGAAAAAATATTTTATTAATATTTTATCGCTTCATTAATATAATGTCAATGACAACTCTTCGAGAAAGATATCACAAAATGCATCATGCATGCAACTATATTATTCGACTTACTTAAAATCGAGAATGCGACCGGATCCTTCTTCAAGATTGGAAAAGTGAGAAGTAAAAACACACTTCTACAATTCACTGTAGTCGTAATAAAACGATCTTTTCCGTCGTGAGTCGACGATAAGATTACATTCGATGAGATTTGCTAGCTCGATCATGCATTGAACCGGTCGCAGCAAGCAATGGAGGCAACGGGTGATGAGGTTCAGATTCCAAACAGTCTGAAACCGGTGTTTAACGTTTCACTGAGAGTTTACGAGAAACGGGAGAGATTTCGCATTGAAATGCGTTACGCATAGATAGCTCTGTCACGCAGTTGCGTCCGCAAAATTGCACGGGATATGTCCTCCCCCTCTTTTATATCGCGGTATCGATATCGCGTATGTATATAAACTTACAAACGGACGTGAAATGGACACGCGTAAAAAAAAAATAATATCAACGCCGTTCTTAACGATGATAGCAATTTACCGGCGTGTCGTCGACACGATCCACGGTATTTATTGTCTGTTACCGTGACGACACGTCTCGTCGGGATACTGGAAAAATTTGCATAAAGCAATATTCTTGCCGTACGTGCGGGAGAACTCGACTCGTGTATAACTTTTCTCCCCTTAAACTACCGCGCCGTCATTGAAACTACCCGACTCATCCTTCGGTATCGCGTCGATACGGTTTCGCTGGCCGATCGCCGTTGCCTCTTCCTGAATCGCTGAGACTCTCTCGTATAAAAACTTTCCTTCCGGAAATTCCACGCAATAAACGTTAGCTACATCTATTGAATTCGCAAAGGGCCCTCGGGAAAGATGCTATAACTGTCCGAAGCTACTCCAAAGAATTCTTTCTCTATTTCCGCAAACGGGCGCGTCGCTTCCCTTTGAAATTCAATTCCAACATTTTCGAATCAGCATATCGTACGTATCGAGGCGCGGGTGACTGTATTATCGTGTGTATAGTGAAATACTGTAGAAATACGCGAAGCGAAATAACGCCGCAGATACAGAAAGAAAAAGAGAGAGAGAGAGAGAGAGAGAAGAGAGACAAAGAGAGGAAGAGAGAGTTTGAGAAACGGAACGTTTGGCAGATAAGCTTTCGGATTGCGTATAAAGATTTCTCGAGGTCTCGTATGAATTTCGTAAAGAATCCGCCTTTGCGATTGTGCAAGTAAACCGTCCGCTCTAAAAGACCGTAAGAAAACAGTTAACGATAATATAAATATATCTACCCGTATCTCTTTCCCAGCGAAACGTTTCGCGTCTCTTATTCAAAGATTTAATCTAACGCATAATTCACAGCTTGATCTCAATTCACGCTTCTCAATCGCCGACGAGATTCTTATTCGATTCCCGCACGAGCATCAATCTTTGTCTCGCGCTTGAAAAGCAATTACGTTGAAATTGTTCATCTTACGAGTAACTTTCTTGATCGTAAAGAATCGAAAGAGAAAGAGAAAAGAAAGAATCTCGATCTCACCGCACATTTCTAACGCTTCGAGCAGCCACGGTTTAAAGAGCTGTCTTTTCCACGCCGCCACCTAACTCGTGAATATAGGCAAGATGAAAGGCTTTCTAATTGCATATTGTGTAATATACCTGGCCGAACTGTACGTGTGTGTACGTGTGTATGTGTACGCGTGTGGCTGAAGTCGTTGAGTCATCGAAACTGCCTTCTAAGTACATATGAGTACCTAACAGAGATATCTATAATCAAGATTGACCTACATGGGTACATATATCTTTGTATAAAGATATTATCACTTCTACGATACACGCGACAACTTCATAGTATACATAAGTTAAGTGTTTGAAAGAACTTGATCCCCAGATGTAGAGATTAAGTTTTTTTATATATTTTATATCATTTTATATGTATATATATTCACATACACACGGTACGCATTCTCGTATATTTTAACGGAAGAAATCTAGTTGACAGATTTCATTTTGCACAACAAATGTTTCAAATTTTGTGTATTAATAACAAACGTTTTTCTCTCTTTATCCTACATAAATATACTCATCGCGCATAGACGCGCGCATCAATCTGATTTTGCAAGCCATTGTTATCGTAAACTCAAATGAAGTCATTATCGATCTGCACTTCATCGATACGTCCTCGCTCGAAGCGGAATTTATTTCTTTTTTGGTACTATTCTCGCAAATATATATTTATATTTATTAAAGAGGATGTGTCCGGTGTTTTCTTTTGCGAGACTGTGGTTTGCACAACGCGCTTTATTATATATATATATATAATATTATCATGCGATACGTCGTATATATTTTACGCCTGCATAAACGCGACTTCCATAATAATAATTAACAAGATATTATATTTCTTTGCAAGTAGATAATTCATGAAATGAATGCAAGATAAACTGCTACGATATGTAATGAAACTCAGCGTGCAACGATAACTATATAGCTTTACGATCTTGGCGCAAGTTATTTCCTCGAATACAGAATTTTTTAAAAATCTTTCTCTCGCGCGTAGTTATTTATTAACTTCGTTATATATTATTCTTAACGCACAGCATTTACAAGCTCGGATGACCTGTTTTGCACCAGGTTGTTTGTACGAGCCATAAAACACAGCGCGTACGTATTTGAAACTCAGGTGTGCGTTCATCCCCTGTTCGAATTTTACGGTATATGAACTATACGTGTGTGTAGAAAATATCGTAACAATCGCTCGCGCGTTTGTCTGCGTGAACGGGCGAAAATAGACCCAAGGGCATAGATCTCGCAGCATGTCGACCGCATAGATACCGAACATATCGATGATAAACGCTATCGTATAACAGAATATTTCGGATTGAAGGCTGCGCCGCTCTTTAAACGCGTTCGGTTCCTTTCACGATGCGTGCACGGGTTTATCTCGCGGGTTCACCCGTTCTTCCCTCCTCGCTTATCCCTCTCTATGCGATTTTTCCACAAATGATTCGCTAACGCGAAAACGTAATTCGCGCACGCGGTGTACAAAGGTGGATGAACAACAAAGCACGGTACTTTTTTGCCGCCCGGAGAGAAAAAAAAAAAGCGCAGGTAGCGGGCCTTATTGTAGCCGTGTGTTTTAATTGCTCGCTATACTCGGAACTAATTACAACGCGTAGCTAGAACAGAACCGCTACAACGGGGGAAACACAAAGAGTCCGGGCTTTAGAGAAGAATTGAAAATTACGCTTTCGCGCGGTACAAGGGATACGGCATCGTTTGCGGTGAAGAAGATGTAGCGGCAATTATTATGCAAATATCGTATGTGAGTTACATAACAAAATTCCATATACGTGTATTTTTAGTTTTTCCTCTTCAAAGGAACAAAAAAATAAAAGAAAGTTCTCAAAGTTTATTAAACCATTTTTCGCGACGATAAATTTCCTCCCGCGCGCGCTTAGCTTCCTCGCATATTGCGAATAGTCGAGGTGTCCTGTACAAAATCGCAGGATGAGGATATTAAACCCATGTTTCCGCCGTGATATCCTCTGCCTAGGGTAAAGATTTTTCCGCGGGAATAGGAAGCGCGCACAAATGGCCACATTCCGAGAAGCTCGCCAGTATCGAGCTTTTGCTTTGAGCTCCCACCGGGCGATGCCGTAGGTAAACGCAGGTGTCTGTACCTGCAGGGATCCCAGGTGAGGCCTCCAGGGCAGTCCTCGTCGGTGAGAACGTCGCACTCCAGCGGCGAGCACACACACGAGAGAGCTCTCGCCACCGCGAGCGACAGTACAACAATGCCGCCCAAGAGGAGCAACGGAGCCCTCATTTTGCTCTCGTCCCTCTCGACGACCGCCCTGTCGGCGGTTTTCCTCTGTCCTCTTCTTCCTCTTTATCCTCTTCTCTATCTTATAATATCCTTTATCTCGCCGGCCACACAATTACAAGCCAAATGAGACGGGGATGTTCATCGCGCTAAAGTTCACTTTGCGAGACGTTTGACGATACAAACTCTTTCGATTCTCGATTTGTCACACGCGCGCGATAAGGAGATGTTCACTGGCAGAGAGGATGCAGTCACGAGGGGACGCACGTGATCGACCCACAGCCGCTGAATAATGTCCCGAGGAACGTAAAGAAAAATGTGTTGATCTACATTTTACCGCTTGCAATTCGCTGGAATACCGCGTACGTCCATTATGCGATCGGAATAATCGTGCGGATGGAAAGGATAACAATCGCGCTGGCGGAAGTAAATCTCGCCGAAAATATCCGGCGCTAATAATGATAAGTTCAGGATTCAAGGGAGATTAAACTGTGCGAACAAAAGACAGAAATAATGTAACAAAAACGTTTGATGTGTTCGCAATTTTGCAGTAAATTGCTCAATAGCGTTATGTCGGAAGATAAAAATTAATCCCAATTTTTGTATTGTATATGAAAATAAAATGTTTGCAAGCAATGCGGATCAAATTAGACGCGCTTTAAAAGCGAACGAAGGGAATAAATAGCTTCGTATTTTTAAAGTCAGAAATAAATCAGAGCTTCCTTTCTTATTTGTTACGTTTTAACAAGGATCTTGCAGAATCATATGCCAAATGAGACTTGTAAACATGGAAAAATATATCTGTATAATAAGGAGAATGGTTTTTAATAAGATATACATATATTTAATAGGAGAAATGTGTATATATATCGCGTGCACACACACACACACACACGGAGACACATATATTTAGCAAAATATTATAAATTACAAACAACACACACGCATTATGTTATGTATCTCCATAACTTTGATGTCTGCGGTAAATAAAATTATTTAGAAAATCCGTAAAGAGGAAACACCGTATCAAGCTTCTTGGATGACGCTTAGACAAGAGATGCCCGACCAACTCTTGGACGGAGAACGGTTCGTCCAAAAATTATACACTATAATAGCGCATTGCAAAGTGTATGTATCAACCGTGGATAGTTTATCCCAGAAGATAGCGCTATGAAGTGGGACACATCAAAAAGTTATCGAGCACCGGGTAAACTTGCGGTGTGCCTAAATTACACGGATACATGAATTCTGGCAGGGATATGCCTCCAACATCCGCATTGCCGTGTGAAACGCGATGCAGGTAGATATTGCCGTAAGTATTGCGCCGATGAAAGCGCGAAAATATACCTTGCACCTTGCGTAAATGCAAGGAGGGCACACGCCTATCATACGTAATATTATACGCGTATTTTTTACATATATATTGATAGCGAATGAGAATCGCGACGTAGGATTATGCGAATATGACTAGAATACGAAATATTGAAAGCTGCTTGCTAGATATTCTGTTTCGCATCTGAGAGAGATGCCATGAGATTTTCTCTTCCGGTCGAAGATTTCTAAAATTGAATTTTAATAGCAACAAGTGCGAATGGAAACTTTGTGAAGATACGCATCTCCAAAGAAAATTTGCGTTTAGCTAGATAAACCCGAATTCCCCCTTAAACTCTCTTTGAGAATCGCATCGGAGTGACATTCATTCGTTCATTCATTCGTTCGTTCGCGGTAATTAAATCTGTGACAAATAAGCTATTGCACTTTTAAAGAGGTAGCGTATCACCTGTGTTACAGAACTGCGTTACAGATCGAAATATCGTACGGTCAACATATATCGAGCTAGTTGCGACTCGAAAATCACTCGTCGACGCAAGCTTGCGTCCGATATTCGCGCGCTGACAAACTTAGGATTAGTAGATAAACAATGGGAATAATTCGGAAGGAAGGAGAAGTGTCAGCGTCAAATTATTCGAGCAGTATCAAGGGAAAGGAAAACGGACGAAAAAATTGCCAGGCATCGAGGAACGGGAAGATTCGATCATTCCGCGAAAACTTCTCCCTTCGACGAACGCTGGCTCGCATAATAGAATCGCGACCGACCTCCCCCTCGTCACGTACGTCGTACCGACATCGTGCACACGATAGGGTCGCCCGATGAAGCACTCGGTAACGAAGCTGCGACAGAATACACACGATGCGTTCCGCGTTCGAGATGAACGTGCACTGGCCGCGGCCACGGCGACGATCAGCGTCTCCGACTCCGATGCCGAAGCCGAAGCGGCGCCGCGACGCGACGCGACGCGACTGCGTCGGCGCTCTAACGCCGCAGGTAAGCTTTCCGCGACTGTGCCTGCCCAGTTTATGATTTTTAATTGGCGGTGTTGTAAAGAGTTAATTAACACACAACGCTATGCGGTTGTGTCTCGCGAATTTATCCGTCCGTTATATTGTACGGTCGGTATTGTTGTTAGCGGAACGCTATAACAATAGCGTCGCAACTATTAACAATCGCAAAGCCACCAATTGGTCTGTATTAATATTTCAACTATTTTTTTTTTTTAATCTTTCTCTAATATATCTTTTCTTATAATTCCGTTGAAAACATCTAAAGAATTACACATGCTACAATGATTTAAATAAATACAGTAATAATCTTTTGTTTTTTTTATAAGTGTAATTATACATTACAAATTATATATAAATACCAAAAAAATGTATTAGATAATAATATCTATTATAATATTATGATAATATTATATGATGATATTATAATATTATAATTTTTATTATATATTGTAAATCAATATTACTTTAATTATATACGAATTATATAAAGATATAATACAAAAAGATATATTAGATTATAATTTTTACTCATAAAAACAAAAAATTAATATCGTATTATTATTTAAATTATTATTGATTGCGTGTGATTCTTCAAATATTTTTGACGGAATTATACTTGTAATATATAAACTGTAACCTATGATTTAAGAATAACAAAAAAAAAACAGAATACTCTGAGAATTTGTTGCGGATACGATTTCTATATCATAAATTGTTGGCAGCGACTGCGTGAGAATTACACGGCAGATGTTATCCAACGAAGAAGCGCCCGCTGTGCGAGAGCACGCGCGCAAAACACGGTGTACATCCTCGCTCACAGCATTGTCGCGAGAGTCGCGCTTTACACGTCGTCTAATACCCGGTAATATCTCGCGGATGAGACCGGCTGTCAACGTTCTTCTGGCCGAGTCGCGAATCCTAAGTGTGATAAATGCCCGCGGCGAAACCCGTGGCGGTGGCGTTCGCCCTCTTCACCTTGCGCTCTCGCGAGCGATTTTTCTCGTGCGCGTGTTACGCGCCATAACTCGCCCCTAATGCTTACAGAATGGCAGTCATTGGTCATCGAGATCTTCCTCTTTCAAAATGTACCAGGCGCAATGTATAAAATGAAAAAAAAAATGTATTAGATTATAATTTCTACTCATAAAAACATAAAATTAATATTGTATTATTATTTAAATTATTATTGATTGCGTGTAATTTTCTCTCTTCAGATATTTTTGACAGAATTATACTTGTAATATATAAGTTGTAAGCTATGATTTAAGGACGTCTAACAAAAAAAAAAAATGTTCTGAAAATTGTGAAAATTGTAACTATGAGTAACGATATTAAGAGTACTCTGATCTATCGATTTTTAATTGATGTTGCACGCAAATTGCATTAATTTTTTATATTTAATATCGCGGATTTATTAAATTTTAACAGAGAGAAAAAATTTATTTTGGAATGGCCAAAAATATTTGTCACTAAAATATAATGCGACAAAAATGAAACGCTTTATAGCTTCTAATTTTAATAGCGAATAATGAAAGAAGCAATTTTTTAAATAGCGCATGAAAATAATATCAATAATTTTGTCATTTTAATAATATATTTTAAGATAATACTCTCTAAAAAACTTTCTCCTTATATATTCTTTTAATGAATGATCCGCTGATATTTTAAGAAATCAATATTATTTTTTCTCCCTTATTTTTTATATTTATTTGTGTTTTTATTATGCTTTGAGTATTACCTGTGACCGTTCTAAAGTCCTACTGGCCGTTCATATGGCTAAGGTGCTCTTTTGCTTTCTATCTCGTTAAAATCCCCCGTGCTATAAATCTCCATCTCATTCTCAGACATGATGTGCTCGTCATCGAAGAGCATCGTTGAAGATGAGAGCAAATACCCGCGGTGAAGAAACGACTGAAAGCATATAATACAAATTAGTAAAAATACAAAAAGTAAGAGAGTTTCCGACGCCATTCTCTCTTGCAGACTTCACTTTATCCTTTACTTTGTTACTTCGAGAAAAGACAGCGGTTAGAAACGATAATCGTTTACGAATATACACGACAATTATGCCAGCTCATCGTTATCGTTAAAGATATATTGGAATTGTTGCAAAAATAAAAATATTAGGCAATTATGGCTAAACTTACCTCGTAAAATAAATCAATCTACGGATGCTATTTATCGGGAGCTCCTACCGTTACGTGGCGCGAGAAACGACTGAATTCAAAAATACAGTTTAAACAGTTTTTCAGCTTTTAGTGGCGACATCTTCATATAATATGTTGCATTATTCGTTGCGTAATTTTTCTATCGATAATGTAGATAACTGCACGTCACGTGGTTTACTGGTTTCTGCAAATGAATAAATGTGTCTCTAACGTATATGTGTGGTTACCAGTTTCATACGAATTTATCTAACATTACCCGCCAATACCGAAAGTAGGGTTATCGAGAGCAATAACATTTATGTGTATTTATAACAAATCTCATTAGAATCGTGAAATAGAAACTATTTGCTTGAAAATACACATGTAGTTTATTCGTTTATATTATAAACTATATATTTTCGATATAGTAATAGAATATTTTCGACATGGAAGTGTCTCCAATGGGCAACTTGCCGTAAGTATATAATAACAGTTTTTATATTTTTTATAACTTTTCACGATTATTTGATCATTATTCAAAAAGAAATATATTTTAAATTTGGAGAGAACAGAAGTATTAGCTATCACAATTATTTTAATATTACTTTGTTTTAATATTGTCTTTTTTGTAACAATCTATAAAATAGTCTCATTAATTTATGAAGCAATTACTCTGTTATAACAATTAATAAAAAGTTGCAGCAAAGATTTATGGTCCATAATATCTGGCACAACATGCTGTTGTGCGAAAGAGACTGTCGAAGATGAAATAAAAAATGGAACTGTTTTACTTAAGGAAGGTCTTCAGTTTTTTAAGCCATATACAGATGCATCATTGCAAACCATCTCTAAAAGAGATCCGCCTCCTCTTCAACAGATGTATGATTTGATTAGTAAACTTGCTCCACTTATTGTAAGTATATATTACTCTAAAGTTGCAAATATATAAATTTATAAGAATTACATTTAATTTTTTTTCTAATACATTTTGAATATACTAATGTTAATATTTTTAATTTATTAATTAGAACTTAGATGCCACAATTACCTGGGATCTCGTGTGCAATTTTGTGTCCTACGAATACAGAAATTGTGCAGAGACTTTTGCAACACAGCTTACTGATCTTACATCTATAAAAAGTTTAATCGATGATATTTGGAATTTTTATTACTCTGAGAGAGTGACCTTAATAAAATGTCTTAAACTTATGATTGAATATAAAGATAATGAAAGACATCCTTATCACAAGGAATTTGCGAAATTTTTTGATGAGATCTTGATGGGCAATCTACTTGAATCTATACAAAAGCAGATAAAAGTATTGAAATTTGTAAACCCGCCTACACGGTCGCAATTCTGTACTGAAGATTACTTGCATAGATTATATAATAGTACTTTGATCGAAATGCGAGAGCTGCTTCACATATTGACTGTGATTGTGCATGATGTACATATTGCTGATTACGATTTTGTTAAGTTCTATGGAAGCATTGGGGTAAGATGCATACGTTTAAAAATTTTATACATTAAGAGCACTAAAAATTTGGTTCAAATACATATTAATAAAATTTTTTAGGGTGAACCTAGACGATTAGCAAGTACAAAAAGTCACGAAGACAAGGAAGCTTTCATAAAAAAAATTGAAGAAATACAATATAGTCAAATAGGATTATTACTCGTAGCATTGGATGTGAGAAAGCAGTAAGTTAACATTAAGTTAATAAAAAACTTTTTATAATTAAAGAAAATATATATATAATTTTAATAATCTTATTTGTATGTGTTTTTTTATTTTGTTGCTATATCTGTGTTGTTTCAGCACTGCTATGGAAGATTGGATAAATGGCATCAGAAGCAGTATGCAAGAAATCTTTGAACACAAATGCGTTCGTGAGAATTCACCACAAGATGGTCCATTGCTTCTATCTTGGATGTTAGCAAATTATGCAATTGATCCGGATAATATAGACACATTAAATCGCTTCAGACCGTTTGGTATTAAAGCTATACAACTTGATGTGTTCCATTATTTGCGAGATTTAATGAACTGCGAAATCTTTCAAGAAGAGACCTATTATGCTGAAATTGTGCGAAGCAGCGTTTATAATCTTCTCACTTTGGTGTGCGCTTTTGTCGACGAAGATCGGTTAAGCGCTTTCAATGGTATTTTTGACGCCATGGCTGCTACAATTAAGTTCCCAGAATGTGCGACTAGATTTTGGAACGAACAATGTGATGGCTTATGGTCGATTTATAAAGTTGCTGTAGAATTATATCCTTACAAGTTTGAGCCTTTAACCAGTATAGCTATTGGTCTTGCATCCACGACCATTACAAGTGCCAAAAAGGTAATATGTGATACTATCATGTATCCAATTCGTTATATATTAAATATTTAATATTACATGCTACAATCATTATTCTTTATTTTCAGATTGCATTGGAATTGGATAATCTACAGACAGTGACTATAGAGATTCCCCGTCAAAGAGATCATAGTAAATCGTTACAGCCATACAAAACGGAATGTATAATTCAGAAGAACTTATTTACTATACCCAGCAATTGTGCGCGTGAGAACATTGCCGTGTTATCTACAGAGAAAGAAGTGGTTTTATTTCGTACAAAGGCGAGTTACTGGAATGCTTTGCATCATAAAATAGAACAGTTATTTTCTCAAGCCGACGGCGGAATTGCAAATATCAGCGTGGTGAAGACAGATTTACCGGAAAACGTTTGTCACGGTCTCAAGCTATTGGAAGCGTTATTGGCTAAAGACATTGAGATACCGTTAAGCATGGTCAATCCCACGGAGCTGAGTTTCGAGATCGTTAACCGATTCTCATATCCGGTTCTACCAACAAACTTATACAAAATCGTCGCCGTGTGCATCGGTATCTCATCGAAATTGGTTTTAAGATATCCCGAGGATATCCTCTCACGTATGCGATCGGGTGTTTACCCGAAATTCAATAATTGGTATCAGAAACCGATAGACTTCGCTGAAGCAATTTCCTTCGACGGTGGTCTTATCGCGTCGTGGCTTTCAGGAATAGAAACTATCGAACACACTTATCCTATTCTACGCGCATTTTTAGACACCTTATACAATTATTTAATCTCCAAGCACAGTAAAGAGGCTATGTATACTATTGAGATACCGGGTATGGTGTTTTTGTTACAAGCTGTTTTACCCAAATTGGACTCATGGTATTTTAAATCCAATGCAGAAAGAATTGACTTATGGCTGAAAAGCATGTACTGTATTCATCGGGCTCTAGAATCTACTCTATCCAAGAATGATATCCGCAACGAATTACAACTTGTTGTAGTATATAGTCTGCTCTACTTGGAACCGCGTCACGCGCTGTTGAAGTTACTCCGAATGGGCGAACGTACATTGCACAATAAAATGATTACGGAGACTGATTGGATTAGTGGAAAAGGATTCAAGACTATTAAAACCGTAGAATTAGCCTTGTCGATAGTCAATCGACTCTTAATGTTTAGAAAGTCTTTGGGTCTCGAACTGAGTGATAGATCACCTCTCGAGATTGCTTTGTATTCCTCTCCGAGGGTACCTAATGGACTTCTCATAGTGCCGACCATTGTTAATTATTTGTACGTTTGGTTTAGTCCTTCATTGCAAAAAATGGCGGTTAGATTACTGAAGAAGTTTGCGGAAGAATTTTCTATGTCTTTGCTCGTTTGTATGGGAATGGATGGTACTTCTATACGAGAAACCTTCGCATTTCGATTGACGCTACCGACATGTGCGATTGAAGTAAAAGTCGCTATCCTGGAATTGGTCGCCGTATGTCTGGAAAAACAGCCCGGCTTGACGGAAGCCTTCTTCAACATCATGCATCAAGCGGAACGCAAGAGAATTTTCCCGCGTTCAGCCGATGAGTTTCTTACGGAGGGCTGCAGTCAATTCTTGGACTCGTATTTAGAACGAATGTACAAAGAAAGTGACATTGTGTGCGACAAGTTGTATGACAGCACGATGGCGGTATTACGTGCCATGTGGTATTACAGAAACGAGATTCTCGTAAATTTCTTTCGAAAGCGAGAGAAATTCTGGAGCCATCTGTTCGCGCCGCTTTTCAAACCTCTAGTACCGGGTGTGAAAGGTTATTCCCAATTGTTGGACGTAATTACGTTAGAATTATATAAAAGCCCATTACTCGAAGATAATTTCTCAAAAAATCTAAAAGAACTTTTGGATAAAACCAAGGATCATTGGAAGAAATTAGCCATATATGTCCTCGATGTTGTGGCAAACGGCGAAGATGAGAGTACTAACGAAGAGCATATAAAACAGGACAAAACCGTCGATCCATTATACGAAATTAATTTAGAATCTTGGTATCACTTTATTGTCATGCTCACTGACGATCGAACGGCTAAACATTATCCAATTAACGTAACGCAGGCGCATCTTCTGACTCAACTGGCCCTGGATTCTTTATTGGAGCGAGTGAAAGAATCCAATGATACCAGCAGCGGTAAAATTACTATGTTACTGGCCTCTTTGTCCTTAAGATGCATCACTTCTTGGAAACAAATGTGCGTTGGCGATTCGAGGATCTTCAAAACCAGACTGTCACAGCTCACGCAAGAGATAGCACAGACTTACCGTGGCTTCGGGAAGGCTCTACGCCAAACGATGATTTCCTTACTACTTGGATGCGTGCAACTGGTGAAAAGTACCTTAATTCCTGCACGATCGCTATTTGTGAATTGGAAGAATTGAAGGAAGCTGCCTTTCAATTAGAACGTCGAAAGCAACAAATCTCTATCGATCTCATCAAGACCGAGAATAAAGATACGCAGAAAAAGGCTGACTGTTACAGCGCGGAGACCCTCCGTGGTATACGGGAAAGTTTACCGGCAACATTAGCTGTCTGCATGGTGACGCAATTGTTACGATCATACGTCGAACGTAATGCAAATTTCAAGCATCGTCTACGAGCCAGTTGCGTACAACTACGTCAAATGGTACCTGAATTGATGGCATGTGTCGGTTACACACTGCAGAAGTATCCGTATTTTAAATTCAGTATAGCAGCTTTGAGTCTGCTGGGTGTCATATCGCGTTCGCCGTACTGTCCGCACCCTATTAGCGACAACGATATTGCGAAGCTCTGGCTCAGTCTGATCCCGCCAGAAGACATCGCTAACAGTATGCTCGACTCGTTGTACGACGATTCGGTGAACGGTCGATGGCGTTGCCAGGATTGGTGGCCGCTGTACACCCTGGGCTTGGAGTTTCTGATAGGTCTGGTGACTAGCGAGACGCACATGGTGTACATCAATCATGTAATCCTTTTCTTAAACTCTCATGAACATCAGTTAATGGTTGTCTCCACTTTACTGAGACACACCGCCGATTTGTTGGCCGCCGATCTAATACAATCGCTGATCGCTCTTATACATGCTGCAGCTACGCAAACATATGTTTGGAACGCGATCCAGCCAAGCGTTCGCGAGACTCTGATCAAATGCATGTATCTGGTATACGACAGTACGGTGAACTTGTTGTTAAGACCACGGATACTCAAGTTCATCATTGATGGCATCAGCGTAGAAAGCGCCGAGGAGCTCGAGTCTTGCGACAATCGATTGCCTAGCGGCGAGTTGAAGCTACTCGTGAACAAACTGATTGTCATAAACACGACCTGTGCGCTAACCTTCGTTCAGTTTTCTCCAAAATTGAACACTCTCGTGGACACAATATACACTCAGAATTATTGGTATACACCGATGGCCGAAATGAATTTCGGCCCACCGCAGATGAGCATGAGTTCCGGTCCGCGGCTCACCTACGGCACAATCATCAGTTCGACGCAGCTGTTCACCCAGGCTCTTCATTCCCGCTCGCAATCCGTCGCTTCATTGCCCGCGTCTTTAATCCCACACACAACCGGACGCGAAGATAAAACGGATTCCGCGAAGAAGGAATGGGAACGCGCCGCACCGGACAATCTCCGGCGTATGCATACGAGCAAGGATCTACGAAGAATCATTCACGCCGCTTCGGGCTCAATTTCCAGAACGTCGACATCTAACATCGGTTCCAGAGAATTTCTGGGATATCCCGTCAGTGGCCTGGACGTTACCGTGCCATTGCTTAGCAGTCCAAGACTCGTACGTCGTCCGTACGATCCGTTGATATGTGAAAACACTATTCTTTCGAGAGCGACCGCTTTGGCGACCGGTAGACATGTCGCGAAAAGCAGCGGCAGCGGCACTGGCGGCAACGGTAGTCCAATCATAGCAAGAAATCATCGGTTCTGCGATCCGTGGTTCGAGTCCATGGACGAGAACAATACACGACTGGCATTGGAAATCAATCTTATCCTGATACTGTCTCAGGCGCTGGAAGGCGTGAAGAGTCCTAGACTTGCGTTGCGAGATCGTCAACTTATAGCGCGGGAGACCGCTACGGAGCTGGGGGTCTTCTTCGATTTTCTCGAACACCGCGGCACACCAGATATCTGGCAGGTGAAGGGCTCCTTGATAGACGTGGATACACGGAGCTCCAGGACAATTCAGGATACCAGTGATCTGACACAAATGAATTTACCGGCAAGACTCCAGAAGAACAGTACCATTGACAAAGCGCCAGTGTGCTCACCCGATCACGAAGACTCTTCCATGGAAATAATTCAAGCCGAGACACCAGAGAAAAGACTCGATGACAGTATTCTTACAACTGGTGTTTTCAAAACGAATGTCAGCAGCGTACAATTCTTGCCATTGATGGGAAAACTGCTCAAGACAGTTGTCGAGTCATTGGATTCGGCACAATTTCGATAAAGTTTGTGAAACCATATTTTACAATTAGATCTTAATATACAGTTTATCACTTTGGAATAGAGTTTAGATCTCTTTTAACATTCCAATATATAAAGTGGTCACAAATGGCAGACATTTAATACTGAAAGTGGACATATACATAGAGCTCTAATATTTAAATTGTGACTGCATTTCGTATCATGTATTATTTTTTATAATTTGGTACAAAATTGTACAAAGTGTGCAAATTGTGTGTGATATTATATATAATTGAACATTTGTGTGCATGTTTGCAAATACTAATCAATCATATATATAATAAATATATTATTTTTCTACTGTGCACAGCACAATGTAAGAATTATAGTCTTATGAAAATAGTATAACACTTAAAGGGAACGGAAGAGGAAGAGAAGTTAATAGGAACATAAAAAACATGGTATTCAACTATTTTTTTTTTCTAATTTAGCCTGTGCTTTTATATCACCACTATTTATAAATGATTAAACATAATGTAATGTGTATATCCAGTTAATTAGAAATACTTCGTGTTTTTCTTAAATAGTTTCTAAGAAAAACGTGAAAAATACAAAGTATACGTTTTTATACACAGCCAACTACTTAACGAGGGACAAAACGAATTATTAGGATCGCTATTTACGCGTATCCTTTACATTAAAATAATAACGACTGTTTCTATTGACTTTCATTTAAATTTCATCATTTGAACATTTATTACTTTTTATTTATTTTGGTTTGAACTGACAAGTTCCACGAGATTTCGTCTTTTACAAATTTATTGCCAATCCAAAGACAGAGATGTGCTTTGGACAAATTGTGAATTACATATTAATTACAATAATGGTGCATGTGATGCCGTTTCAGTTCTCTGTCGATTCACTGACTGTAACTATTACGGTTTCAACCGAGATATCAATTTCAATCTAAATACACCTTTTTTCTAGAATATTTCTTCAGAAACGGGGAGAAGAAAAATAGAGAAAGCTACAGTAATCCCCGCTCGTTTTTCGCTCAATTAATTATCTTTAATTTTTATTTTGAATCTTACATACAATATATATATATAATATATATATATACTTTAGTCTCTTTTCCTCGCAAATGCACATTCCTTCATCTTCCGCATTACTATATATAACATTATGCACTCACGTGCTAAGGACAATGAATAATTACGATACGGTATAAAAATATAATCCTTGATATTAATGAATATTATTATGCGTTAAGACATTAGCGATGATGTGAGTGCCGAGTTAGGCACACCGCGTAAAGACATCCGCCGCCTTTCAGGCTGAACACCTGAAGGTCGAATTAGACGCTAAGGGGGCAAATGAGGTAAAATGTTCTCAGGTGAGGGTGTATCGTGGGAATCATTGCTCCTAGATGATGTTACTCGCTGATGATAGTAATTATTGGAGACAGCAGCGGCAGAGGCGGTGGAACTAGTAGTAACTGTATTTGTCGAGCCGAGGCCTGTAACCATTGTCGTAGACATAGTAGCTGTGGTAGTATTGATCGTTATCGTTGTGATGACGGAGGAGGTAGGTTGACTTCGAGACGCTAGGTCGCTCCAGCGGTCTGCTAGCGAGTTCGCACAACCCGATTCGGACGAAGGACAGTCTGGATGACTAATTGACGACGAACAGTACGTCGGTGTAGTTAAAGCGCTGGAATTGCACATTGAGGAGGACATGGTAACTGCAGCCGACGTTACCAAGGGCGGTGGTGGTGGAGGTGGCGGTGGTGGCGGCGCCGTTGGACCGTTGATCTCTGCCAACGGATCGACAGCATTTCCATCCCAAGGCTCTGTCGATTTGGATTCGTCATTATTAATCACGTTGGTGCTGGATCTTTGTCGTTTAGCGTCACCATACAGCAAACAATGGACGTTAGGCGAACTGCTGCGATCTCGCACTCCCTCTTGTTCCTCCAGGAATCGGTCCATATAGTCCCTGCTTGCGATTTAATGGTTCTGTCATTCACGCTTGCAGTAATTAGATTAACAAAAACTATTACATTGTAAAGTGTATTAACTGGTGTACTGTTATTATCAAATATTGTATCAGACTCAATTTTTTGATAGATTGCAAACATATGTGATATCTCTATTTCAAAACTTTCTGTGTTTTGGTATAAAGCTCAATTACGATAGAGAAAATACTCACGTGATACCAGGATGCAGAGCATATTTTTTCTTTTCTAATCGAGCTTTGTACGTAAATATGTCATGCCGCTCCGTTTTCTTCCATAAGTAATAAAATTGCACTAACTCTCCAACAGATCTTGTTCTCACCTACAAACATTTCTTGCTATAAGTCACTGCAATACAACTCATCATTAATCACTAAAATATCTCAATAATTTCTAGATGATTTATAATAATTTGTACAAATAATTTAATTTTGTATGATGTGATAAACATTATTCATTTCATATCTTTTTCTCCTTTTACATATGTGAAAAAGGATAATAATACTCGTAGTATTTTACTATATTTTACAAAGATAGCAACAATTTGTCATTCAATTCTATGTTACGAAAAGATTAAATTTTGATTATTACGTACCTTATTCTTTTGTATAAGATGAAAATCTTTCCCATAAGTGCGCAATCCAGATTCAAAATTATGACATTCCTCTTCTGACCAAAGACTCACTGCATCCGTAGGAGGAAGTACGTTCATTCGACGTCTTCGCAATGCTTCATCGAGGTTGTAACCGCATTGCAATAGAAGATACAAGGCCTGTTCGTCATCCCTAATATGAGATCCAGCCGGTAATGAGCCACCCTTTACCGCCGGAAGTTGCGCGCGTTCCAAAAATTCTTCCGTATCTTCTTCGGATATATGACTGGGATCCCACAACATCTTATCTTCATTCTCATACGGCAACGCATCGTCGTAACGACATAGACCTTCTGGTATTGCTGCTTGGTAGTCAGTACCAACCATGATTGTCTTCTTCCATTCTTCTTCATCTGGACTGTAGTCGCAATCGTCTTCTTCTTCCTCGCTTTGCGGCCTTGAAACACTTCGTAACAATCTCGAACTGCCACTGCCTATTCCCGCACTGACTATCCTATCTTCTGGACCATCTATCGCACCACTGGCGCTACTTTCTTCGACAATACTGTCGGCAACACTGGCTGTACCTAAATTAACTATACCGTCGCATGTAACAGCATTAGCGTTCACTATCGTAGGCGACGATCTAGTTTTCTTTCCGTTTCCACTTCGAGTGTCAGTCATCGAGCATTCTTCGGCTTCGGCGTCTTCATCATCATCTTCGTCATCGTCCATTCTACGCTTCCTATTGTCTCTACTGACTACTCCACCACTGCTATTGCTTTTCATTGTTGATCCTGATAATGATGACGCCTTATCCTTTCCTTTCACCAGCATTTCTGTGTAGAATTGCTTGAGATCCGGCTCGTTGCTAGCCGCATCGGCCTCGTCGTCATCATCATCGTCGTCCGCATCGTTGTCACCTTTATCCGAGTAATGCTCCTCGGTCTCAGGATCACCACTTCCAGATGGCAGTAACATGTGATCGGAACTGTTCGAGTTCTCCGTCGAGGGATCACCGTACCCGTACATGGCAAGTAGATCTTTCAGTGGCATATCACCTTCCTTACACGAGGGGACAGAGAAAAATAGATCATTATTACATCAAGCATATTTTACGGGCTAAACATGGAATCTCACTACGAGAACGCACTTTGAGTCCAAAGTGTTGCAGAAACTTATCATAATTGTAATTATTTATGGGCTCGATTTTTTCATTTCTCAGGCTTGATCCTAGAATAGTCGGGATCAGAACTTTGTTACAGAGTGACAAATGTGTATACATATATACAAAGTGCACAGTCTCAGATATTAACGGAGATATACCTTTTGCAAATTGGACAACTCGTTGTGAGAATCTTCACTACCTTCTAACGCTTCTTCTTCATCCAATGTTCGTTCATCATCAAAATCATTTACCATCATTTCTGTTGCAGGACCCATATCATAATCCCGATCTGCCCTATAAGAAACATACATTGTTACAAATAACACTGTTACAAAATCTATTCTTTATCATATTCTTAATATTGTTTAAAATTTTCTTTACGTATGAAAGGATGTTATGAGGTTTATATTAATTGCTACATAAATGGACGTATACTTACATGATTTTACGTTCTCTATTCACTCAGATTGAAACATAACACAAATGGTGTACACACATTAATGCATAGACGATACACCAGAATGGATCACCACAATGTACAAGAACTATTTTCCAACAGCCTGCATCGTCATACCATTCCTCTGGCATAAAAGGTAGACAAGTTAAAGGCTGGCCTTATAACTTATCACATTTGATTCTATTGTCCAATGTAGGCGGGATAAAATTAGATATACGTTTACATAGAGTGTTGTGGGTTTTAACCTCAAACTGGATTGACATTCGTATCACAATAGTACTCACAACACTAATGCGTACAGTCTTATCATAATGGGAACTGACATTTCGTAAAACGTCACCGGGTACTCTTTCTCTCTCGGATAGTAGGTTTCGTCAATTCTTTTGGTTACAAATACCGAGAAACTGCGAGTCCCTACCCTATTGTCCTCGTTCACAGGTAACAACAAACCCCTGTCTTTCTCTCAACTCGAACAATCGAAATGTCACGAATTTTTTAAGGCACAATTTTTCATCGGGCGAGCATGATTCGTAACATCGACGTACAGCACATACAGATAAATCGTTAATTATTAAACGACTTTTTAACTAAAAGACGCACACTACATTATTTATATTCGTCGCATTCACCCCTCGGCTTGTGTATGTTCCGAAAATGAATGCGATAATCGAGAAAGCGTCTTTACGGCTATTACCGCGAATGTCTAGATTCTTCCAGAATTGGGAAGTAACGCGTTCCTCGTAACATGATTGGTTGTTGTACGATTAATCCATAGCAATGAATGGATGAAGTGTCAAGATGATATTACACGATAGACTTTCCACTCTATTTAATACTCTTTAGCCATGCTCATAAATGATTGCATACAAGCGAGTGGTGATACATACACACCTACAGGTGTATACGTTTTGAATATTTGACAAGGCGTGTCCATTGCGTGCGTGATTTTACACGAAAGTTTTGCAATACACTACGAGTATACAAGTTGAATAACTGAATGCATGTATATGGAAATATGTGCATATAATTTGTAAGCGTTTAGTGCAATATTATCATAAAAATCGTAAATCCTTGATAAAAATTAGATTGCCATATATATCATATTCATACAAGTTTTTTTATTAAATTTATGCTATTGTCATATAACCGTTATTATTGCATTTATGGGCGTAATATAATTATTAATGAAATATATATGAATCCATGCAGAAATCAGCTTGAGTATTTGCAATATTTGCTATTGCTATATCTGTTTATTTGATGTGTGTGTGTGTGTGTATATGTGTGTATATGTGTGTATTCCAGAAGAATTATATATCATTAAATACATATTAAATACATATCATTGATAACACACACACCCACACACATTGCAACTTATAAAAAAACTCATTGCAATACTGTTTAAACATCTCTATAACTTGTGAGTATAAATAAATTATTGAATTAATGAATATCTTATATTGTTTGATACTTGATTAATTGTTCTTGATTTTGTTTGCAAGTGAGTCAAGATGCATCATGGAAAGAAGTCTCCCAGCATGGGAACACCGTCTGTTTATTCTCATGTAACTACTCGCAGCAGTGCAAATCTCAGATCGTCAAGGTCTGTTCGCAGCGTAAAAATTCCATGGTATCAGAAATCGAAACTAACACATGCTTTTATACTCGATATTCAAAGAGGTGCTATGTTTACTGCTATATTTTCACTGGTATGTATTTAATGGAGATAACATTTGTTTTGAAAATTGTTTAAATAATATGAAATAAATATTTTTTTCAGTGTCTAGCCTTTTTCACAGTGTGTACAGCTATTTTTGATATCTACTGTTTGTCACAAGCTGCGCCTGGTTCCACACATTATGGATATTATATCATATCATATGAGTTTGTTTATGTGGGCAATCAACATGGTAAATATAGTTTCTAATTTTAAACATGATATAACTGTATAGAGAAATAATTTCATAAGTTCAAATAGCTCATAGAAATATGTATTATTGATCTATTTCTTTCCAGTTCGTAATGCGTTGATCGTATTTGCATTGTTCTCTATGCTGGGTGGAATGGTCGTCTTTGTAACTTCTTTGATGTTAATCACAGCTCTGCGGAAAGAATACGAAAAGAAAATAGTACCATGGCTATATAGTTTCGCTGTATTCACTCTTTTCAGACTATTTGCTTTTATATTTTTTAGCATTGTAAATGATATGATATTCGCCTATAATATCTTGATCTGTTTCTTATGGACAATATTTATTTGCATTTCTGCATACGGTTGGCTTATCGTGTATTCTTTATATCTTGAATTACATGATCTAACAAGATTAGAGGATCTTGCTCATTTGCGGGTATGATATATTTACTTTATTATATTAATTGCATTGTAATCATAATATATGATAAAGGATCGTTATGAGTTGCCAAATTATTTGAAATTTTATTATTTCAGATTGGTACAATGCAATCTCTAAATGCATCAACAACACATTCTATTGCCGGTTCTCGACCAACAACGCCTCATAGCGTAGTATCTACTTTGCCTGTTAAGTAAATCTTATATATATATATATAATCTATACATAAAATATATAATATAGATATAATCTATACATAAAATAATTTTATATAGAATGGATAAAAATGGTATTTTTTTTATATACTCCATCTCTTTTTTTTTTTCTTTTGAGACAATTTTATATAAAGAAGAAAATGTTATAAAATACTCTATTTTAATGCTAATGCAAATGAAACATATTCTGGTAAAAAAAAACGATTTCTAATAATATAAAAAAGTGTTCACATTATATTAAAAAACTAATATTATATTTAAATTTTAAGAATATATTATAAGAATATATACAGTTATTTTAATGAATAATACCCAAGCAAGCCAAAAAATTATGAGTAGGAATAAGGCTTTTATCATTTAATATATCTAATAAAACCTGAAATTCATAATTTTATATTCTAATTGTAAGTTTAAGTTAGTTATATTTTTGTACATTAATATTTGAAGAATATCATATAAAACGCAAATTAGTTTGTACAATAACAAGAGTACAAAATTTGTCTTAAAATTGGCATCATAGTTAAAATGCACATGAACGATCTAAACAGACACTGTTTTTTTATTGGCCTGTATAAATTATCAATCAAGAGAGAGACAAGCGATGGTTTACCGATAAATACGATTGGAATATTAATTATAATTTTTTTTACGGTGCACTCTAAACAGCTATTTGCAATATCTCGCAATTTTATGTTATTACATCAAAATTTTATATTTTTGCAGTTATTTATTTAATATAACTTTCTGTGTTAACAGTTAAATTTTTGCAACAACATTTTAGAAAAATACATGTCTTAGAGTATATAATTTATATTCTTGTATTTTTGAAATATGGATATACGCAATATTTTCGGCCCATTTCTTGCGTAATATTTCATATAATCAATACCTGTATGTGAAGGAAGTATTCACGATATTAGAAGTAATATCATTGTAATGATGATAAGTAAAAGAATTGATATTATACATACACATACTGGCATACAAATTCGAGTTATGTAATATTAGTTGAAACAATGCCGATCTAGATGATGATATGTATTAAACAGAGACAGAGGTCTTTTGGATCGAACGACTCGTCTTTACGGTGACAGATCTTGTTCGAAAGAATGCCTCGACTTCAAGGATGCTCCACTCATGGTGACGCGATCCTCCTCTGAATCTGTATATAATTCTCTTCTTTCATTGACAATTTGACGTCTTCTGGGGATATCTCCTGTCGTTATGTGACCAACTAATAAAATTGCTCTACCTAGCAAAGTTAATAGGAACACGCTGATCATCGAGAAGAACTGCTGGATTATACTGAATGCCCCGGTGGCGACGTACATAACGATGGCCAAACACATGGTGAGGGCCACATGGCGATAATTATCGCCATTCGTTGACACTTGAATCGTGAAAAGTCATAAAGAGATGCCGCGATCTATGATAATCTGCTAAATTCAATCACAGGTTCTGTTTTGCACATAGACATAAGAATACATATGAACAATATAAATATGAATACATATACACATACATGAACAATATAGATATGTGAATACACATAGCAAATTTTTTTTTTTAATGGTCTGGTGTTTCTCTCTCTCTCTCTCTCTCTCTCTCTCTCTCTTTCGCAATAATTATTCTGAAAATTTTAGAAAAATTCTCATATATTGCACATTGTAATATTTCTTTTGTTGTGATATCAGTCTCATTTACTATTCTAATATTTAAATTACATCTTGTATATTTATAAATTATACATTTATACATGTTTTGTCAGCGTTGTCTGATTGTGAGTTGTGTATATATTAAATATAAAAATGTTTAAATTTTACTTTATTATTACATTACAACATAATGAAATTTGAAAATTATTTTTATTTTACTAGAATGATTTTGGTATAGCAGTATAACATTAATAAATTTCACGAGATATTGCAAATTCAAAGTACAAAAGGTGTCGTAATGCGTATTAATAGAGGTAATCTAACCAGTCGAATTGGATAAACAGTTCTTAATGAAAATAATTATATATACAACTTCTATTGCTGCCATACATACATAGAACAATCTCAATCGCAATTAATTGTTTCGTTTCATATTCATCTCTTTGCCACTTTCTTATTCCTTACAAACACGTAAACTCGCTTTTTTTTTTTACCGAAGAAGTGAAAAATTATTAAATATTTGAAAAAAATTTATCATCTCATAAAAATAATTGAGTAGGGATTACTATTTTAGTTTGTATAAGGAATAAGAAAGTGGCAAAGAGATGAATATGAAGCAAGACAATTAATTGCGATTCAGATGTTCTCATGCCATTTTTATCTGTTAAAACTGACATAATGCTCTCTATTACATAAGAACTTGTATAATGTCATTAGAGATTATGTCACCGAATTAAAGCCTTCGAAACGTGTAAGTTAAACGTCACGAAATGTCAATATTCAACGCATGTAGATTCGGTTAGGAATGAATATATATATTGTATAGCACAGTATAAATGATGCACCTTGAGGCAATTAAGCTTATTAAAAATATTTAATACGAAATAAATGAGAAAAATATCTGTCTTTCTAATTTTGTGCAACTGTTTGTTTTGATTCAAGATCCAACTTTTACGCAACCAAGCTCCACAATGATGCAACACTCTCGACACCCTAGTAAAGGGATGCGGGCTTGTTCCCGCGAAGAGCGCATATTCACCCGGTCATATGACTGCAGCCGCGCTTCTAGAAATTATCGATTTCTGTAAGCTTGGTGTTCCTTGGTGGAGGATGACGCCATGGACGACTACTCATTGGACGGCATCGACTTTGAACTTCCGCCATTGGTCGGCAAGCCGGTATAAACGGTGCTTTCTCGTAATTCCTTTCAGTTGTGTTGTTACTCACTCACTGTACACTTGGTAAGTGATCTGCGATTTTTCTTTTTTTCATTTTACAATTTATATTAAATAGCCGCGAAATCGACATATATACCATCTATTTTCATATTTACCCATTTCTATTTATATATTTTTTTTTTCCTCGAAAACTAAATGATGTTCTCTCTTTTTTTTTGTGCTTCTAAAGATATTACTATTTATTAAATATTCTGAATATATTAGTGCCGAGACCGGTCTTCTCAATATTTTGAAATATTTTAATTAATTCGTTATATTCCATATAATGCTTTCAAGGTCGCTTATGATACACGTTAGTCATAGTGTAAAGGCAGATATGATTATCAGTGTCAACGATATGTATCGCGTGACATTCTTCATTTCATATTGGGTTTGACCACTTGGCGAAAAATCAATGTCCAGTGACATTTGGATTGTAAATGACGCTTCATGACATTTATCGTATCAAACTCGTGAGACGCGACAGCTGATTACAAACTTATTTGCGATGTATACATACAGTTGTTAAATTATTAATTTCTTACATGATTTAGCTAATTTATGATTTCATAGCAAATATTCCTTGAACGTTTTGACTATATAACGAAAAAATGTAACGATAAAAGTGAACCAACGATTAACTTAATAAATGTAACACATTATTGATTCTGCAGCATTTAAAGAAAAATTTAATTTAATTTAAAAATTAATTTTTTGTAATTAGTACGATATTGTTTCTTTAATACTTGATTTTGTTCGCAATTAAAGAACCGTAAGAAGTTTTCGAAAAATGTCTTTCATAGTATTTTTGAAGTCAGCAACACCGATCAATTTTCAGCTCAATTTGACTTTCTCTTTTCAAGAATGCGTTTCTCTTTCTAGATCATAATAATGGCTATAAAATAGACATAATGACACATTATTTAATTAATTAACGTTGACCGGCGTTATAACGATTTAAAAATTTTTTTTGAGATTAACGGAAAGAGAGAGATATTGTTTATTAATATCGATGATATTGCTATGTTGTAGCCGATAATATTTTGATATCTTTTTCATGCGCGTGTTCTGTGCTTTCCTGTCACAATGGAATAATCAATACGTACCTTTCGTTTCGCATCGACGTATTCTCGCGCAAGGATACTGCGAAATTTTCCGCGTTTCGAAGGTTATCCTGATTTTTTTTTTTTTTTTGAAAGAAGAATAACAAGCAAACGATTATCTTTTTATAGTTTATAATTAAAGGAAAATAATATTTTATTAAATTTGTTTTCTGTCATATTTCAGCGACATAAGAAAGAAAATTATGTAAAAATTAAGTTTTATGATAAAGATAGCCTTGAGATAAAATAATTTTAAATTTCTGCAAATTTTATTGTTTCAAACTTTAATAATAATTTTATTATTTCAAAATTTAATAATAATTTAGATTAAATTTTTTTGTAATAGAAACATAATATTTTTACATCGCGTGACGTTGCGGAGGCACGGCATCGACGGCGACACAGATTTACACGGCAAGAAAATATTTCGAACGTGGACTTTGTACTATACTCTTTAAGAGCACGATGACATTTATTGCTTTGCATCGCGTTTGTGTTAGTAAATTCCAAGAAGCACGATGATTATTTTGGACTAGAAACTTACTAAAACTTTCACAGGTGATTTATTCGCGTAGATATCTATATATACTTTAACAACATCGTAGTCAATTGGATAATCTAATTAACTTATTATGTGCATCAAAATTGAACAAGGAAATGGAACACTGTTATTAATGTCAAATAACGTCAGATATCGATTTCGAATTTACCTTCTAAAACAATACGGTGGTTCGAAGTCCGACGACAATTTCTTTAATTGATCGAATGCGGCAAACTGTATGTATACAACGCGTGCGGTTGCATAATTTATTACTTAAGATCAATAACAAATCAGTCGTATGACTCGATAAACGCAAAACAAAACGATCGAACAAAGTCTGCGAATCGCGTTTCGAAGCGTTCTTTGAACTCTGGACGCGTCACCTTATCCCACTTATTTAGTCTACTCATCTATATTTATCATTTATTTATGCAGTGACTCTCAAATATAAAGTATACAATTGTTATCACTACAATTCTTTCTGTATAAGATATGATTTAAGCACCGTGATGATCTCTTACTACCTAACACTTATTCAAATACTTGAAGGTCAAGATGATATAAACGACAACATATTTATTTGAAAAAAATACCATTAGGCACCCAAAAGATAATCATTACAACCATTACGAATAAAGTCTCTCTTTCGTTGGCGAACTACCAAGTCGATCGTAGTTCTCTTTTAATTCTCGGTGTTCTATTTCGGTGTGCCGGAACTTCTTCGTGCGCAGAAACAGAGATACCTCCGACGCGGCGTCACGTTCGCTTCTATAATTTTGTGAGAGATCTGTCGTAGTATCAAGTCATAATCGTGAGACACGTACCGTCATAACAAGCGGAAACGGATTAATCATTTAACATCACAGTACAATATTAACTTAATTATTCTTATCTAGATAATCCAAGATTATCGCGCGCGTACTTCGTTCGAAACGAACATCTGCAAGTATAGATTTTTGATGCTAATCAACGGTCGATGGGTCTTGATAACAGGCAATCGAGTCTGCTACTTTTGGCCGATTACGTTGCGATATATTTTCGCGCTTATCGATCGTTTTATTTTGTTGAAGCCCGGCACGATATCCATTTGTAGAATAAAAATAGCAGCCACAGCGTTCGATTCGATCGCATCGATTGACTTTTGTATCGGAATACTGTACCGGCGATTCTCTCGCATCGCTTCTGTTCACAGGAGAATAGTATGTATAAAGAAGTTCACTATCAGGAAATTAAACACGAGTGCTCGCGATCGGGAGGACTCCACGCTTATCCCGATCACTTCAGGGAACCGTATCTTTAAAATCACCGTTGAATTCATGAACATCTGAAGGTTCCTGCCGTCCTCTGGAGGACTTTGTATATAGTGTACATAGAATCTTTTGCCTGTAACGAAAACAAAAGGAATTTCCCGCTGGAGGAAGACGAGCAAACTTGCGGGATCGTACGCGAGGGAGAAGTTATTCAAGAATTTTGCACTGTCCTACACATACCGTGCACCTTTAACTACACGCATCAGCGATAATAAAAGGGAGAGAAAAAAAAGATAATCGAACGCATCATGAAGCAAGGAACGTCGGAAGATTTTTCACTTGGGTTGAAGCTGTTTACCGCCGGCACGGCAGCTTGCATCGCCGATTTAGCTACCTTTCCGTTGGACACCGCCAAAGTCAGAATGCAGGTAAGCAGCAAAATAATTCTCGCTATCGCGTTTTCCGTAAGATCTCTTTCTCTCTTCCACGACTGAAATCATAATTTTTCAAGATTGCGGGAGCAGGACGAGCTTTATTGTTGGCGTCAGCGGAAGGTCCGGTTTTTGCAGTAAGAGCGAGCGAGCCGGGATTGTTCCAGACCATCGGGAACCTCGTTAGATTCGAAGGCGCAAGGTACGTTGTTCATTATCCTAATGATAGTGTAAGAGACGCGATGGTAGGTAAAACACCATTCATTTAATCTATTAACGTTTGTATATAAAATATCGCGATACATATGTATGTATGTATATATAGTACATGGATTTATAAATATAAGGTTTCTTGCCTGACCGATGATTCCATTTAAATTGAAACTGCTTATAGAGCTGTTGCTCGTTGATATAATAATTATTTCACATTCAAGTATCAATCTCTCTGAAATAATAATATGTGGTACTCTGTAACACACAGACTATTATTATTAACCAGACTTCTTGTTCCGGCGTGTGCCAGGTTGAGCTGATCGATCCTTTCGTCATTGAATTAAGCATGGATATAAAATATATATATATATGCTAAAAATATAAGAGAAAATGTATGCATAAAAATTAATTTAGAAATTAATATTAAATGTCTAGTTACAAATTTCAATAGTTGCAAATTAAATTCAAAATTAAAATGTAAAAAGCAACTTATTTTTGTCACATTTCTTTTTATTTTTTTTTTTTTTTTTTTTTTTTAATGATCTGTGATTCCAGTGGTAACATTATATATTTATGATGCAAGTTTGTCATGCCATGTAGAATGCCTTTGTTTAAGCCTTATGACGTAAATCGATCATTATTCAACAGTTTATACTCCATCTTATGTCAGTAAAGGAAGGATCGATGTAAAATGATCGCGATAATCGTGCTTTCCATCAAAATTTTGCTCCATATCTGGCACATGTATGCATAACGATGCTTTTTCGCTAAAATTCTGGGAAGTTTATCTAGAAAATTAATTTCTGGATCAATATGATTTTCAATTTTGCCTTTCAATCAGATGTCATGGACAAGTGCTTTCGATGCTCATAAAGAAATTTAGTAACGTAAGATAGTTGAAGCAATGCAATCAACTTCCAAAAATTTATCACTAATCCGACGAGAAAGTTGAAAAATATAAAACAAAATAAGCATAACAAGCCTTGTCGATGACACTCTTACCGAGATTTTTTCTGCCATTTTATTATTCTTATTAATTTATTTTTTTTCTCACGTAGACTGTCTCTCCTTTATATCTCGTAATTATAGTATTCGCGAAACTTGACAAACTATTTTTTTACTGCCTTTCTTTTATGTGGAATATTTATAAATTCCTCTTTATTAATTTTTGCAAGATAATTTGAGTTGTGATATAATACGGACGGATACGTGACATTTTGTATAAACTTTTTTATACACCACGTGAAATATCGCAAAATTTTTCTACGTTTTTATGTTTCGGTAACTGTCACTGATGAGATAACCGGGAGAGACAATCTGCTTATCTCTCTTACATCATATGTTTCTCTTAAGTTCTCACGCAGCTGCTCTCTTTTTTGTCTCAGTTTCTCTTTTTGATTTTGTACTGTCTACCTTATCTAGCAGTGATTTACTTTTCTGATCACCGGTACCTTCCTCGATTGAGTCTTGGATTTTGTTCTATAATAATATTACAATTTATGGCCAGCTGACATGAATGCACGCTCTCTCCCGTTTATTTCTCGGCTCTCGGGCCGCTTCTCTTTTCTCTCACGCGTCTCCGATCTATAAATCACTTCACTAACATATGATCTTGATTTTATAAAAGAAAAGCGGAGCAAAATTACGCAAATAATGAAAAAAGGAGGAAAAGGGGGAGAGAAAAAAGAAAAAAATACGCGATATTTATACATAAAAGGCAAATAATACAATAAAGGACATAGTGAAACAGAGAGCAAGAGAGAGAGAGAGAGAGAGAGAGAGAGAGAGAGAAATGTGTAAAGAAAGATGCCCTGGGGATGTGCGCTTGAGGGTGAATTGTGAGGGCGGTGAGCTTGAGCGAGGGTGGTTACAGGAGCCTGTACGGAGGTCTGTCCGCGGGACTCCAGAGACAGATGTGTTTCGCCAGCATACGGTTGGGCCTCTACGACAGCGTGAAGTCACTCTACGCTGGATTCTTCGACGGTACATCCCGTAAACTCCTAACTTTTTCATAATATACCTTCTGCGATATACGAAAGTAGCCGCGCGTTAGGATTTCACTTGCATAATATTACACACGTATATCGTATATATATAAACAGGCACACATTTTAGCACACATGTACACATATACGTATAATACATACAACTGTAACAGTGTTGGACAATATTACAAAAAAAAGTTGCAATGATAAAAATTATATTTGATTAAATATTTGCCAAAAATGAGATTATACGTATAACAATTGCAGAGATTTTTACGTTTATGAGAAAGTCTTCAAAGTATTAGATAAAGTAAATCCACACAAAAACAACAAACTTTATAAATATATATATTTACTTTATATTATATATTAAATATTATTAATAATCACAAAATGTTAAGAATTAAGTATTAGCAAATTTAAATACCGAATAAATTGTTCATTTATTCAAATGTCGTCCAACACTGACATATATATAAACAGATACACATATCCACAAATGGTGAATTATCATATCGGCCGCTCGTTTTATCATGGCGAAAGTTTTCACAAGTTCCACGCGCGAATTGGATCGCCTCGGCTGGGATGTTCAAAACGTGTCCTTCTTCATCTTCGTCATTTTCGAGGCTGAAAGACCAAAGGAGGTAAAACGAAAGATAATTAACAGTAAGGAAGTGGGAATGGGAAAGCTAAAATAGATTAACGACAGCACAACAAAAATATACTTTATCTATCAAACGGGGATCCGAACGTTTTTTGTAACTCGCTACATTGAACGATGATTATTACATATTTATGCATTTCACTCCACTTATGTTCGGAAAAAGTTCCGATTCGTCAAAATGACATTCGAACAAAATGCCGTAGCATCTTGTCTTGCAAAAACCTGTAATATATTTATTTAGATGTAATAATTTCAAAGATAGTCTCTCCGTCTTTTTTACGAATCGCTGAAACTTTTCCCAATTTTGGCTCGATTTAATACATTTATCGATTTTTAATCGTTATACATATTTCCACGGTGGATTTTTGGTATCCTTATTATTCGTGCATTTTTCGATGATTTTTGACAGTTGTTAAAATGTTTATTAAAATAAACTCACAGAATTCTAGGGGTCGTTTACAACTTGTGTGTGCATGCTCCAATATAATGCGTACATATTCGTACATATTTTCTTTTTTAATTTTAAGCGATAAATAATTGATTTGGACTCGCGTAATTATCGATAATTTATCTTGAATGTAAATTGTATACTTTACATATTTATTTGATAATAGTCTTATTATAATTTATATGCACTTTGTATGTAAATGGGGCATGCACAGACAAGACAATGCTTTCGACAAGTGAAAGAAAAGGAATTTGTAATATCGAGCTTAAATTTTCTTGGTATCGCATTTTTTTCGTATTTTTTCGAAATTTATTTACTATAGTTAGTGTCTTAATTACATCGATGAGTCTTATTTTGTTCGCGACGCGACAGTTTGTATTTTCGACGATGAAAACATTCTATTTTTTGTAATTAACGGCAAAGCTAAAAACTCTGAGAAAAAATTATACACTTGAGAACAATAGGGACATCTAGTTAAGAAAAAAGACATTGATTATAATTAAGAACATTTAACGAATCAATAAGAAGCGGCCGACGCGCAACCCGCGTCCGTCCTATTCTGCATCATTATTAATTTTTAATCTATCCATCGAATCCTCTCCATGACAGCGCCATAGCTCTTCATCGTTCGTTTTTATATTTCAGCAGGTAATAGTAGAAGCTGTACGATAAACATTGGTGTGCGGATCGCCGCGGGGATCACAACAGGCGCTTTGGCGGTGCTGCTCGCTCAGCCGACTGACGTCGTCAAGGTCCGCTTGCAAGCTGGAAATAATGGGCGATCGTCGGTGAGGTATAGCTCCACTCTGCAGGCTTACAAGAATATCGCTAACGTGGAGGGCGCGAGAGGTCTTTGGAAAGGTGAGAAATAATCATCGTATATTCCCGCGCTTTGCATAATTTTGCTAGATTTCCCTCTTCTTTTCATCTCTGTAGAATTATTCGAAATAGCCTTTAAGCATATTTTTTTATATCGCTGAAATAATTGAAACGCTATCTCATTACGCATCAGGAACCATGCCGAACATCTCGCGGAACGCCATCGTGAACGTGGCGGAGATAGTCTGTTATGATGTCATCAAGGATCTCATTCTGGTCAGCGGCTATCTCCGCGACGGGATACCATGTCACTTGACAGCCGCGGCGGTGGCCGGACTTTGCACCACTTTGGCGGCGAGTCCTGTGGATGTGGTGAAGACGCGTTACATGAACAGCGCAGCCGGCGAGTACAAAGGCGCGATAGACTGTGCTGTCAGGACCTTCGTCCAGGAGGGCCCATCCGCATTTTACAAGGGTTTCGTGCCGAGTTTCACGCGTCTGGTTTCCTGGAATATCGTACTCTGGGTGACGTACGAGCAAATGAAATTGCAGCTGAAGAAGTGGCATGGCATCGAATAAAGGTCTCCTTGTTCATCGATTATTTCTTGCGGTGAAAAATCAACGTTGAAGATCCCATTGTAATATTGCGTTATTTCATCGAAATTCACATGTTCTATAGAGAATTAGCAGTTGCTTACATGAAACATGTGCAAATCAAATGTAGATAAATCGGAAATTCTTATTCCGCCAGCAAGTACTACGTGTTAATCATAAGATTCCGGCTAATGATGATGAAAAATGTCCCCACATTACTGCTTCTTTTTTCTGCATCTTTTATATATATTTGCGCATTATCGCTGAATTATTCACCATTTAATTGATCGTTAATCAAATCTTGAAACAGAAATTATTTATATATTTAGAAATGACAGCAATAGGCTATATAACTTCATGTTCAATTTACTAATGCGACTTTTATTTAAATGTGCACAAGTGTATGTATTTAGTAGAGACAGTGGAGATTTCTTAATAATTTGTATGTAACCAAGTTCGGCTATGCGTTTTATATACTTATAATAAAGCAATTAGGCCATTTCGGCGAGGTAGACTGAATGATGATTACATGGGCATCATTAATGAAACAGACAATAATGTTATAAAACATCATTTCCATGTCTTTGCTTGAATTTAGATAGAGTCTCACAAAGAATTTGCAACTATGTATTATAACGAATCCTTTTTTCAATGTTGCTTTAATTAATTAATTCGCAGACGTAGCGCGCAATTTTTTGCACGTACAATATAATTTAGTCAATTAATATTATACAGAGCACAATTTTTATTGTAGTTTTATCGACGACATTGCCATTAAATAATTTAATCTGCGAGCAGTAGAGCATTAAAAAAAATCCTCTATTATCAAAATTTACATATTTATCATTAGATGTACTCGTTATTTGTAATGAAATACATTCATTCCCAACCCTTATAAGACGACTATACCAAAATGTCGTTTTGTAATATATTTGCTCTTTGCAACGTATCGCCGACTTTCGATGACGATAACTGTGCTCGATTTTAAAATGACATATACAAGTATACTATACGAGCATTACATGACTGATTATGCTTAATTATGAGGTAAATTCTTATACCAAGAATAAGATTTTCCAATTTGCTTGACGAATAATTAAAAAAACAGCTTCAGATAGAAAAAGCGATCTCATCATGAATCTTGCAATATAGAGATGTAAAATCAGATTGTAATTTATATTTTACCTGTCATCAAATTTTGAGTTTTGATTGAAATTAGTCTATTGGTAATACTATGTTGCAATATTTTTCATAATTGTATTTATAATTAATTTAAAATTGCACTATTACGTGATACAAGATAACCATTTATGCCAATATTACTCAGCACATCTAAGCAAAATAAAATAAATTTTGAGACTATTACATTAGTACATAAACTAGTTTTTTATTTTCTAAATTATTAAAAAACAATTTATTGATTTTCTAAATTCTTTTACTGTGCGATTATTGTTCAGATTATTCTCATATCATTATAAAATTTGCAATCAATGTTATATTGATACACATATAAGGCCTCATCAAGAACTTAAGATATCGTAATCCGTATTTGAATACAGATAACCGGATCAGGGCGAAGTCTCGTAAACCTACAGGTAATCAGAGTTCAATAACATTTATTTACTATATTTATATATTTATACGATAAGTATACAAAGTATAGAGCGAGGTACAATATGAGGGAATGTATGATACAACTCCCTTATTTTATCTTTGATATCGTTTAATATTTGCTTTTTTCATGTTCAAATTTCTCAAATATATAAAATTTTATATATGTTATTATTATTTAAATGATGATTTTTTTAAATAATATATATCAAATACCTAAATTTTATTTTTTTTTTTTTTTAGTTAAATAATTGTACGCAGCCATGTATAACTAACTTAAGTAGCCCTCTCACGCGTATTAAATCTATAGCGCATAATTTTATTTATACAGTAAAATTCGATTTGCAAAGTATATTCAATTTTCAAAATACGTACAAATATGCTTTGCGACATAAATAGTATTTTCATAAGAGGTAGCGGTTAAACTTTGTTACCAGTTTTAAATGAACGTTGTTTAAGATATGTTTCCCTTTGTAAAGTGCAACACACTTGGTGCTATATTATTAGAATAGAAATGTATATAATCTTTATATCAACTTTTTAGTTTTATGTGCGGACAATTGAATAATGAATTTCGTAATTGCTCTGATACTTGACTAAAGTGCGGAACTTTCTAAGTCTGAAAATCGGATTCATTAGATTCGCTATCAGAACATTCTTCATCATCTATACAGCCTGTCTCCTCGAGGAGATGTCCTTCCATAGGAATTCTAAAAAAAGACACAAAATTAACGATATTGAATGTAACAATATTAAACGATAGACCGAACGAACAAACTTGGCTTGATTTAACATTTAACTTAAAAACCAATAAGTACGTATATATGTTTAATGATTATTTAACCATACAGAGAAATGACAGTTCTCTTTGCTTAAGTTGTTATTGTCAGTAAAGATAAATTAGTTCAACACCGATAATAACACAAGCTATTGATAACAGGAAACAATTTAGTGAAAGCGTTAAATTGGCACACGTACAATCAAACATAAATCTTGCCTTAGAATCGCAATTGTTTAATTATCTCGTTTGCTAAGAGAGTGCCGTAGTATGATGTATAGCGTGTTTATCCTGAATACATTTTGGAATCTTCCGCGATTTTCGTAAGACGCACTTTCTCGGGCAACAGGCCTGTTCCGTCGAGCTATGTCGAATAACACATCAATCTGTAGATTCTTTTATCTTGATCAATAATAGAGTAAAATTTAGATCTCAAGAAACAGTTCGCAAACTAACAATATGGCCCTCGGAGGTGCTTTTCCTTTTTTGAATACAAAATATTAAAACCTGGATCTTTTATCAATATATCAATGTTGTTTTTTTTTTTAGCAGACTTATTTTATCAATCGTGAACTATGAATTTATATTTAATTAGATTCACTCTTATAAAGATAAATGAAAGCGAGATATAGTTGCACGTACTTTCCGACAGCCCAATCGTCACCGCCGTCCTTCATCATGGATAGAGCTTGACAAAAGTCTGTCCCAATGGCTTTAAGATGTCCTGTATCGAGATGCAATCCGGCCAATGTGCCTTGATCGCATCCACAAAAACTGCTCTCCATCGTGTAACTTCTGTTTGAATGAAACATTAATCATTAAAATTGACAATTTTTTTATATTATTCATATAATTGCATTAGATTAAAAATATATAAATATAAAATCAGTTTTCCTATACAAATATGAATTTAAATAAAAATGTTTTATGGAGCTATTAATTTTAATGTTGATCGTAAATTACTAGACGCGATTTAAATTCCGAAAAAGAGATCTTTCATGTTAGATGCGTTTTCCAAATACTGCCTCGAGTAACTTTGACGCTGCTAAGGAATCACATTGCGAATCGGATCGCTGCCCAGAATATAATCCTTTTACCTCGAGACACCCAACTGCCGCCATACAGCGACTCTGGCGGTGGATTCTTTATTCCTCTCAACCTTGAAGGAACAGAGTGGCAGAGCGAAAGCCGATGAGGTCCTCTGCATGAGATGCGGTAACATCTGATACAGAACGAATGCGCGAGAGGATTATTACGAGGTCGCATTCGGTAACTCTGATGAAAATCCTGACGTCTTGAGAGAAGGGAAACTTCTCTCTCGCGGTATCGCTAATTGACTAATGACATTCTCAGGGCGAGACGAAATGAATCGCGGCTGTCGACGCGTAAATTGCTAGTTTTCCTATACAAATATGAATTTAAATAAAAATGTTTTATGGAGCTATTAATTTTAATGTTGATCGTAAATTACTAGACGCGATTTAAATTCCGAAAAAGAGATCTTTCATGTTAGATGCGTTTTCCAAATACTGCCTCGAGTAACTTTGACGCTGCTAAGGAATCACATTGCGAATCGGATCGCTGCCCAGAATATAATCCTTTTACCTCGAGACACCCAACTGCCGCCATACAGCGACTCTGGCGGTGGATTCTTTATTCCTCTCAACCTTGAAGGAACAGAGTGGCAGAGCGAAAGCCGATGAGGTCCTCTGCATGAGATGCGGTAACATCTGATACAGAACGAATGCGCGAGAGGATTATTACGAGGTCGCATTCGGTAACTCTGATGAAAATCCTGACGTCTTGAGAGAAGGGAAACTTCTCTCTCGCGGTATCGCTAATTGACTAATGACATTCTCAGGGCGAGACGAAATGAATCGCGGCTGTCGACGCGTAAATTGCTCGCGTAAATCGAAAGCTCGCGCTACGAAGGACAGTCGCTGAAAGTGATAAACGTCCACTGGATCGGGCCAGTAAATATAAGATAAATGATCCGCACGCGAGCGGAGAATCTAAAAATATCGCCTATAGCCGGATTCCCTCTTCCGTCGATTCCCTTACCAAATACTGCACCGGCTGGTCCGGTTTCGCCTTGTCAGCAGCGCTCCAGGAACCCGACCTTGAACAACCGAACAGAAACACGTTCTTCCTTCGCGAGTGGCCGTGGTAGTCGACGAAAACGTGGGGCGGCCTCTGAAGCACCCTGGCGCAGTACTCCATCAGGCCCTTGGTGTGATAGATCACCGGGTGGTACACCTGATTGGGATTGCTCCAGCGTCGATTCAGGTCCTCGTTCGTCAGACCGTAACGATTGCTGTCGACAACGAAAGCCGTACGTTGTAAGAACGTTAAAAGGGGACGACATATATCGAAGAATCTTATGCATAAGCAGACGGAACGCGCAGGTTCTAGCCGGACACCTTGTCGTTCATGGTGCGATCGCGAACGTTTAAAATGTTGAAATTATCAGAAATGATCTTCGCTCTACACTACACGCTGGTACGCGACCGTAAACTTATCACGTTTCATTAACTATCTTATGCAAGACCGGAAATTCCAAGCTAGCTTTTTCTGATGTAACATATCTGATCATATAACGAGCTTTTTTCAGCTCGTTTCTGCGGTTTCATTCCATCTCGATATTCTTCCAGCCGTGGAAGAATGCATGTATGTTTCGAGCGACTGCGCGATAAAATAATTTTAACGTCTGCGAACGTTTGCGCAGCAAGTTTCCAGATATTTATGCGTCTACCCGAGAGAAGTAATTTGCAAGCATTATTTATTAACCAATTTCCTAAGATATCTTCTCAGGTTTACGATATCCGGTGATTTCCCAGAAATCTATATATAAGACGTGTCTATCTATGTGTATAGATGTATATGCGATAGGTAAATTATGCAATAATGCACTTAACTATTCATCTCAATATATCGTTTGCGATCCAAGAGGGGAGGTACCCGCGAGAGATCGTTTTCATTTAAGGATTCAGCCGCGGTTAGAAGGACGTTTCCGGCGGCCGGAAGCCGGAGTCGGAGGAAGTGACGCCTTCGCGTCGCGCATAGCTAATAGTGGGGCATGGCAGGTGACAACCGATGAAGACGGTCGCTTGAATTATAGCTATTGTCTTAACACCGCACATATCGTCCCGCACTAATATCTCGATCCACATGGAATATTAAGCAGACTCGTTTTTTTTTTCTCCCCGGTATAAAGATGATTAAAGAAAAATCATGTTTTGAGTGAAATAATATTAATTAAATACTTAAAGCATTCCTCGAACAAGACAGGAATTCCGAGAAATTATTCAAAAATTTCTCGACGTGCATCTTTGGCATTTAATGGAGCATTTATATGTATACATTTATTTATATATAACGCGATTTAAATGAGCACGCATGGCGAGAGTGACAGCTAACGCTGACGTTGTACGTACACCCGATGACAGTCCCGTCGAGAGAGAAAGAGAGGACGTTCACCGGCGCGCCGCGTTCGCAGAAGCCGGCGAAAAAGGACAGTCATTCGAGATAATACATCTCATCACGCGCAAGCAACGCCAAAAAAACGATTGGTTGTCTCAGAACGCGCAGCGAAACGAAATCGCGAGGGGACGTGCAACGCGCTTCGTCAGGTAACGCTATTAAGAACATTCAACATCTGACGGCGAGCATTACATCCACGAAACAAGTCTCTGTTTGGTTCTTTTTTCCAAGGGTCCGGAGTAAGGTTCGAACGCGAAACTCCCTCGCAAATTTAAATTCAGGAAATAAAATCAGATCTCAAGATTATGAGAAATATAAGCTATCCATCTAAAAATTTCAAAATGTTGTATATATGATATGTACATGATAGTAAATTTAAATTTAAATTTTTACGTAATTGATTATATAAGCTCATTTTAATTCGAAAATATTTCTGAATATTAGGACTCTTCTCTTTAATTCTTATTCGTGAGGATAATTAGGTTCTCCAATGTAGAAAGAACTCACGACGATGAGTCATATGTTTGGAAACGATAATTGAATATCTGTACAATGAGAGTGTCGCTGTTTTATTAACCATTCGATGTAATGGGCAGCATCAGTCTCTCTTCGTGCCATCCGCCAATGTCAATGACTTTGCGAGGAAGAAGCCTTGACTGCTAACTTCTCTCACCTCTGGTGAGATTCTGTACAAATTATATGCAACCGACCGACTCGCCTCGGACTATGCACTTCGTGTCAAAGGATACCGCTCGTACATCTACGTAATATTGCGAATATTTTTGGAACAAACAGAGACACACACACACATATGCCGAATCCTCTCATGCATAATATAATTGAGATTGTCGCGTTTATCTAATTTAAAATCGATCGTCGATTTAATCGATCGTCGATTGCCTTTACATGCTTTAATCAATTACAAGTGCAGGCTATTCATATAAATGTCGAGATTTTTATCACCGAGATACGATAAGCAATAATCGTTAAATCTTTATCGACTCAAGTTCGCTCGTTATCTTCACAAATATGGCATAAAACTCTAGTAAAAAAATAGTGAAAACGGCTCCTCGAAGAAACAACCGTAAGATATCGGATCTTAGCGAGAATTCTCGGAATAATCGACAAAGAAATTGAGGAAGAGATGAGAGCGGGAAGGCGCGAGGACTCGGAAGGGTCCGTTCTTGCGATCGTAAAGCGAAATTCTCCGGGCATCATGGGAACTTCTGCTTTCCTAGGGCCCTTCCTCTACGTGTGTATCGCGTATTTCTTCCGTGAACTTTACTATCATCCGCGTCCGCTCGCATCTATCTCCGTCCCGTCTTCTATGAGCTTGCAAGCATTTTCTCCCCGGGGTTATCCCGAGGTTCGATCGTGCAACCATCTCGTGGTTGGACGTTTCTTTTTTTCTTCTTTTCATCTCGGCTCCGTTTCCACGTCTTTGAATATCGCGCATACATGAGCGTGGTAGCGTCGTTTCGTAACGCATCGCCGCCATCGCTATGCACAAAGAAGTGCGTAATGCACTAATGTACGTTATAAATGCTTTTGCGTTATGCAAAAGAGCGCATTATAAATTATAATAAATTACATTTATTTAATATAAATATTAAATTTAATATAAATTATTTAATATAAAAATTACCAAAAA